TATATATACATATATACATATATACTATATACATATATACATATATACATACATACATATACATATATATACATATATATACATATATATATATATATATATATATATATATATATATATATATATATATATATATATATATATATATATATATATATATATATATATATATATATATATATATATTATGTGCGGGAAGAAACAACAGAAAAAACAGCCAACTGCCAAAGCGCATGTAGAAATATGTTTGAGATTAAAGATTCGTGTTTTCCTATTTTCATCCATCGACGTTGCTGCAGTTAGAACAACACTTTCGTCCTCGCGTTTTGACTTCGCCATCATATGGATGCTTCAAGTGAAGCAAATCTAATGAAGCGGTTTTAGTCGATTTCGTACTCATAATGCGCAGTCTTCAAAGAGTTAATATAGACACATTTTCCTACAGTATCAGATACATTGCATGTATATTAATAATAATTCAGTTAGTAACATGTAGTCGGAAAGCGTTTACTATCTTTCTTCCTTCTCGACGCAGAATTGAGTTTCTCCAGAAAAATATCACACAGTTGAATGTCGAGTTCAAAGAGACAAACGTGCCTGACCACAGACTAAATGACAAAAATTGCATCTCAGACAATAGCGTTTTTGATGCTAAATACACAGTTGAATATATAATAAGTGGGCAGGAACAAAAGAAGAAACAGCCAACCGCCAAAGAACATGTAGAAATATTTTTGAGATTTAAGATTCGTGTTTTCCTGTTTTCATCCATAGACTTTGCTATAATTGAAACACCCCTTTCGTCCTCGCGTTTTGACTTCGCGATTTTAAACATTTTGTAATTTGAATAAATGAACAAGAACAGGAGCGATAAAACAACTACAGATGCACAAATATCGTTAATTGTCTCCGAATCAATAAAAAATAGCAATACAGATAGACCGAGCATTATGACCGTCCAAAATGCCTGAAAACATAGAAGCCTTGTTTTTGTGACTGAGGCTTGATGGAAAAATGGACGCGTCAGGGCTAGGAATCGTTCAACATTCAGCGTAAAAAGCGCAGACATCGAGGGGCCACATACAACAAAAGACACGGACTTCCTTGTACGCTCGAGTATTTCATTAATTTCTCCTTGGGATAAATAAATTGTAGATACGATCAATAATGGATGAGTGATAGCGACCACAGCCAGATCAAAACAAGACAATACAAGAATCATAAAGTAGCATGGTTTCTTCCGAAGTTGCGACGACCTCCTCATAGACTGATTATAACCACAGAATTTAGGAATATTCCTGCAACCATAAATATTATATTGATAATGTACAGTAATACGACACTAACAATGTAATTTTCTTGCATATTGACGACTTGTCTTGAAAAAACAATAACTGAGTTCTGTTTCTTCCTATAATAGCCTTATTGCCGCTGGAATAATTTCGAAGACACACATGCATCACCTGTTGTTATATACGTATTTATAAAATAGCCTTTTAAAAACACGGGCGCTGATTGGTCAAAAGCTCAAAAAACCCGTGTTTCTATAACTCGATAGAAACACGGGGAATTTTCACGCGGGTTGCGTGGATTGCGCGGGAGTTTAAAAGACAAAATACAAACAATATTTAATTTTGAAAAAAGTTGAAAAACGTCCCGAAACGCCGAAGAACCGTTACAAAAAAAGGCAACACTTTGCTAACTTAGAAAGCGAAGACCTTAAGCACAAAGTATAATTATAGCACACATTGTACCTGTTTGACTGTTTACCAAGGTAAGATATTTTAATTTTACTTTGTCTTTCTAAAAAAATATTTCCTCGCGAGGTTTTTAATCATGTTTACTATAGTTTTTAATCACGTTTAAACGTTCACTAACTATTTAAAACAGTGCTTTCTTTGCATGCAAGCATTTACGTTGTTGAGTGAATTATATACTTAATGTAAAGTAAGCCTGTTAAGTGCTGTTTGTTGTTTTGACAGCGATGTACTTGTTTAATACTTCGCTATGTTTTTATAATTATTCATTAAACGAACGTATATTTAATAAGGTGGAATTAATATTTGAATGAAAGCAATTAAAATCAATAAATTTATCTTTTCTATTGTTTTTAAAAGGCTATTTAATAAAGGAAATAGAAAACTTTTTTCCGTGTTTCTATAGAGTTTATAGAAACACTTGTGAAAGTTTGGGAGAAACTCGAAATTGCGTGGAAACACTCGCACTTCGTGCTCGTGTTCGCACGCAATTTCTCGTTTCTCCCAAACTTTCACAAGGGTTTCTATAACTCTATAGAAACAACCGCAGTATACTAGCGCTTTTACGTCCTGTGTGCAACGTTTGCATTTCAGTACGCAAGAAGTAGGCTATACACTGCGCAGCAAATTGGTTCAGTATACTAATGAGGAATTCTACTCAATAAACAGCCTCTGTTTTGATCTCTTCAAGCAGCATACAATTGATAATATATACCATAAGCTTTCTTTGCAATCATTTATTTGAATGAATTTGTTTTGGCCGTCGTCGTCGCCTATATATACATCCTTAAAGTCTCTATTATAGTTTCGCCAGGGACTTCACCTTATTCGCTCTGCGCGCAGTTCGGGAACTAACACGAAAATTTGTGGAGCTAATGGCCATAGGCCAAGGATGAAATGATTAAATTGTGGCTCAATTTGGATGAGAAATTAAGGCTTGCTTTCCTGGGCAGAGTAAACTGAATGAGTAATTAGTATATCTGTCCATTGTATAATTTATGCATAACACTAATCATATATGTATATATATATATGTATCATTTATGTATTGTAATCTTAACTTGACTTGCGCAGGTATATATGCAGTCTTTGAGTGCTCTCTAGTTAATACTTAATCCTTATTGCTTAAACTTAACATAAACCTCGATAATGAATCGTAAACATAATCATTCAGATAGCGTAGCCCTAACTACATTACCACACTTTTTATTACCAAATTTGCGGGACACATTACAATAAAACACGACAACTCTTCGTAAGTAAATTTATAATTTTTAAAGTTTGTTGCTATAAGTACTCATCTATATATCTAATATTTATGGGTGTATATATATATATATATATATATATATATATATATATATATATATATATATATATATATATATATATATATATATATATATATATATATATGATTATATAACGTAATACTATGTTGATCCTGTAACTTTTGATATGCTTTTATCAAATGAATAAAGACCTATTTAATTTGACAAATTTAATGGCGAGAAAATGCCTCGTAAAACATAATATTCTGAATCACTATCATACTTGTTGTTTCCCATCGGTGATCAACGACACAATACAGGGTGTATCAAAAAAAACTGAACAGATTTGAAATTGCTCTCAATTTTGCAAAACACCTATTTGTATCTGGTTTTTTATATATAGAGCTTCTTTGGGTACTTATAATGTAAAATAATGAAAAAAATTTCTCGAACTCAAATTCTGTGAACCAGGGGGGTGTGTCTTTCCCGACAAACTAAAAATGGCTCGCGCACAAAATTTAAAAGCTGTAATCATATTTTGAGTTAATAGATTGAACATTTGGCGGGCTTTTAATTACTGTACAAAATTTCAGACAATTTGGTTTAGTTTAAGCCCTTTAACTATTCATTTTGTTCTAAAAAGTCAGCCTTTCGCATGCTTAATTAATGCCTTTACCTAATTTGCATATTGCTGACATATGCAAATTAGGCAAATGCATTAATTAAGCATGCAAATAGCTGATTTTTCGGGAAAATTGTAACTTTGCGTGAATAGTTAAGGTTCTTAAACTAAACCAAATTGTCTGAAATTTTGTACAGTAATTAAAATCCCGACAAATTTTCCATCTGTTAACTCAAAATATGATTGCAGCTTTTAAATTGTGTGCGCGAGCCATTTTTAGTTTGTTGGAAAAGACACACACCCCTGGTTCACAAAATTTGAGTTCGAGAAATTTTTCTCATTATTCTACATTATAAGTACCCAAAGAGGCCATATATATAAAAAAAACCGGATACAAATAGCTGTTTTGCGAAATTGAGAGCAATTTTAAATCTGTTCAGTTTTTTTTGATACACCCTGTATACCTGACCATATGTCATTGTGCAACAAGAACTTTCCTAATGAACCCATGGGAATGTTAACCAACCAATGTTGGTAGCCGTGTTTTTTTTTTCTGAGAAAGATCAAATATATCAGAAAAATTGGAAATAATTTCGATCGTCTACAATATCCAGATGCATTCTATAATAATAACTCAGTAAAATGTTGTTGGAAGGCACTTGCTATCTTTATTCCTTCTCGACGCAGAATTGAATTCCTCCAGAAAAATATCACACAGTTGAATGTCGAGTTCAAAGACCCAAACGTGTTTGATAACAGATTAAATAACAAAAATTGTCTGTCAGACAACGACGTTCTTGATGCGAAACGTAAAGCTACATATATAATGTACAGGCAGAAACAACAGAAAAAACAGCCAACCGCCAAAGAACACGTCGAAATACTTTTGAGATTTAAGATTCGTGTTTTCCTATTTTCTTCCACCGACGTTGCTGTAGTTGAAACAACCGTTTCGTCCACGCGTTTTGACTTCGCGATTTTAAATATTTTGTAATTTAGATAAATGAACAAGAACAAAAGAGATAAAACAACTACAGTTCCAGATATATCGGCAAATGTCTCCGAATTAATAAAAAATGCCAATAGCGATAAACCGAGCATAATAACCGTCCAAAATGCCTGAAAACATAGAAGCCTTGCCTTTGTGACTGATGTTCGATGGAAAAATGGACACGTCAGGGCTAGGAATCGTTCAACATTCAGCGTGAACAGCGCAAACATCGAGCAACCAAATACAAAATAATGTATGGATATTCTTGTGCGCTCGCGTATTTCACTACTTTCTCCAAGAAGAAGATAAATTGTTGACACCATCACTTGTGGATGAGTGATGGTGACTACAGCCAGATCAAAACAAGATAATACAAGAATCATAAAGTAGCACAATTTCTTTCGAAGTTGTGACGACCTCCATAGACTGATTATAACCACAGAATTGAGGCACATTCCTGCGACCATAAAGACTACATTTATAATACACAGAGATGCGACGCTAAAAATATCGCCTTCTTCCATTATTAAAAACGTCGTTTCTTGGACGCACAATTGCTTCTTGTATAATATGATTTGCCAATTTAAAATGAATAATTAAGAAGAGGCTGATACTGCATCTGTTGACTGTTGTTATGTCGTATGTTTAAAAATATTTTCTTGTTTTGAAGTACCTGTGCTTTAATAGTATATAGGTAGGTGTCTATCGATGGAAAACGTATATACAAATTTTAGACCTCAAAAAGGAAGGCCCATATGGCTGCATTTTTCGCACTGTATTTGTCGAATTTTCAAAATTACACGTCCTATACTCGAAAATAATCTTAGTTCGAATGTCAGTTTTACGTCACACGAACAGCTAAAAATAGCAAACGTAAACAAAAGACATTTTAAATCGTATTTAATACTTAATACCTAAAGAAGAATATTGAACCAAAATGAGCTAAACATACTAAAAGAAACAACAAACCATAACAACAGAAATGTGTGTCCTGTATGACTTTAAAGTTTGAAAAACATTTTCAAAAATACTAATGAAAATACAATAAAGATAAAGAGCCACGATAAAGAGCCACGATAAAGACGACTGCACGTGTATTAAATCCGCTTCCACTATAGATTATAGCCATAGCATAGTGTCGTGCTTAAATTTCGCAATAATTATCACTAATATATCGTTCTAAATAATCCTTCTATAAATAATTGTTATATAAAACATACAAAGCATATACACACCGGTAACGAACCACAAAATTCAAAGTTGTAAACAATTTGACCGTGTGACATAAAACTAATATCTCAACTCTATAGCTATTTTCGGCTTGTAACGCATACTGTAACTCCAATTACTCAGAGATCCCAAGGATAGTGCAAAGTTGATATGACAACTGACCAGAAAGCACTAAGTGGTGTGCACACTATAAGGGGCCCATAAAGCAATGCCTGGCCCACATTGACCCTTTATCGTGCATGGTCTGTATTATTATAGTCTGTATACACTACAGAATTTTTAATTGATTACTTTAGTATGCTGTTTACATTTCCAGAAATATAATTTTACCACACATACTAACGGAACATAATGACAAATTGCCCACCTGTTTGAAATGAATATATGAATGCCCGGTGTGGATGTATACTCACAATAACATCACAAACATCACATTCACCTGAGTGCATAACACCAACACAGAAAAAAATCATGATTACTAGCTATAAAGTATATTGTAAAAGCGAGCAAATAAAGGCGACAATGTTAAAACATATACACGCCAAAATTTGCCTGTTTACACTGCTCCAGCACATACTACTTTTCATATCACCTCCAAAGCGGAGTGATTTTTGCTCCGCGTCGCGCACCACAAACTGTGGCGCAGTGTAAACAGCAGCCGAATGCTTTCACGTTGCATGAAAGACGTGATAATACTTAGTTTAACGTTGTGTTGAGAGTGACAAAGCCGTTGAGAACACCCCTGCACCACAAATTATTCACAATTTTTGTCTTGCATGACATTTTTTTCGCAAGCGCGTCGTTGACCCGGCCGCGTCGTAGATCTTATAAACTCTATAGATTAATTCAGTTAATAAAGAGTCGTCGGAAAGCGTTTACTATCTTCATTCCCTCTCGACGCAGGACTATAATTTCTCCAGAAAAATGTCACACATGCAGTTGAATGTCGAGTTCAAAGAGATAGACGTGCCTCACCATAGATTAAAGAACAAAAATTGCCTCTTAGAAAAATAATGGAATTCGTTGCGTCCTTGTTATATTTCATTAATTTCTTCTTGGGAAAAATATATTGTAGACTGCACCGATCAACAATGGATGACTACGGCCAGATGAAAACAAGATAATACAAGAATTATAAAGTAGCATAGTGTCTTTCGAAGTTGTGGCGACCTCCATATATATAGACTGATTATATAACCACAGAATTTATAGGAATATTCCTGCAACCACAAAGATTGTGTTTATAATGAACATAAATATGACGCTAAAAACTCCTCCTTTTGCATATTGAAGACTTGTCTTGCACAATAACTGAGTAATTCATGTTTCTTGCTATAATATTGCTTATTGCAGGTGCTGGAGTAATTTCGAAGACACTCATGTATCCTGTTGTTATATACGTATGTTTAATGCTAAATAATTAAATATTTTGTCGTTTTGAACGACTTTAAGAAGTATAGAAAGGGAGTCGTTTTGAAGGGTTCTATGCAGTCTTTGAGGCTCTCTATATAGAGGAGATTTTTTGTATGTTACGTAACACGTGCTCAATTAAAACTAACTTTTCCACTTGGTTATGACTATATTCAATTTTTTAATTTTTTATACATTTCTCAAGCGGCAAACAAACTTAAAAAGTATGTTTAGTGATTTGTCTGTAAAATAATGCTAAAATGAAGAGATTTTAGATGGTACGCCAAAGAGAATTTAATGATGTCTGAAGTTCAGTAAGTATTGCTTATATTGCTGTAAATCATGGCGTCACTTTTAAAGCATCATTGATAATTGCATTTTAATTGATAAATTTTTTACTATTACATTATGTTTCTCGACTGCCAAATGCATTTAGAAAGGTAGCTAACTGTATAAGCTAGAGAATAAAGCTAAAACAAAGCAATTTTGAGATGTACGCCTTTAATACTTAAAATTGCCTCTTAATATATTTAATCCTTGTAGCTTAAATTTAACATAAACCTTGACATTGAATCTTATAAACATAATCATTCACCTAGCCCCAATATATTTTTAAAAATTCAACCAAAACTATTTAAACTCTATACAATCTGTGACGAGCATAAAGCATTTTCTAGCCAAACTACATTAACGCAACAGTGAGAATAGGAGGCGGACAACTTTTTATTGCCAAATTTGTGGGACACATCAACAACCTCGTACCCAGGGTCTTTCCTCTTGTAGAGAAAAGACCCTGGTTCATACTTGAATACTCTATAGTGTCTCCCATCGGGAATCAACACGCACACAATATATGACCATCTGATATTGTGCAACAAGAACTTTCCTAATAAACCCATGGGAATGTTAATCAACCAATGCTGGTGATATAACGAATTTGTCGACCACTTCAACAGTTGGGACCCGGTGGTAAGTAATGCGCAGTCTTCAAAGAGTTATTTATTAGACAGCTTTAAGATACAGCTGATTCACTTAAGGTTGTCCTTCCTTAAACTCTGAGCGCGCAAGGGATGATGGGTCTTCACCCATTAGGCCCTTAAACTCAGACAATTGCCTTTGCAGCAAGTATGTTTTCTGTCGTGAGTCTTCTATATGTCTTAGGTATTCTTGCAAAGCCAAATTTTTAAGTTTATGAGTCTGAATAACCCATCATCCATTGCGCGCTCAGAGTTTAAGGTTAAGTTTTTGAAAGGGCAACCTTAGTTGAATTAGCTGAATACCACACGGACGGCTCAAACATCTGAATTTCAGCTGAAGAATGAGCGCTAAGCAATTTGATCAGTATGTAATAAATGTTTGAAGCTTTTTCAAATAACCTTAAAAATGGCTATAGGTTCGACTGAATGATACAATGTTTGCTGTAATTTCGATTTTAAGTAACACCTCTTGGGTCGCAATAAGCTTTCACGTTGCTTGAAAGACGTAGAAATGCTTAGTTTAACGTTATGGGACCACCATATTTATTCACAGTTTTTGTCTTGCATGGCAAATTTCTTTCTTTAGCAAGCGCGTCGTTGACCCGGTCGCATCGTAGGGCCTATATCGTAAACTCCCTAATATATAGACAATTTTCTACGATACCAGATGTATTCTATAATAATAACTCAGTTAATAAAGAGTCGTCGGAAACCGTTTACTATCTTTATTCCCTCTCGATGCAGGACTGAATTTCTCCAGAAAAATATCACACAGTTGAATGTCGAGTTCAAAGAAGCAAACATGCTTGACCAAAGACTAAATAACAGAGATTGTCTGTGAGACAACAACGTTCTTGATGCGAGACGTAAAGTTAAATATATAATGTATGGGCAGAAACAACAGCAAAAACAGCCAACCGCCAAAGAACATGTGGAAATACTTTTGAGATTTAAGATTCGTGTTTTCTTTTTTTCATCCACCGATGTTACTGTAATTGAAACAACCTGTATTTCGTCCTCGCGTTTTGACTTTGCGATTTTAAACATTTTGTAATTTAAATAAATGAACAGAAACAGGAGAGATACAACAATTACAGTTGCAGAAGCATCGACAATTGTCTCCGAAATAATAAAAAATACCAATGGCGATCGACCGACTATTACAACCGTCCAAAATGCCTGAAAACATAGAAGCCTTGTTTTTGTGACTGATGCTTGATGGAAAAATGGACACGTTAGGGCTAGGAATCGTTCAACATTAAGCGTAAAAAGCGCAAACATCGAGGAACCACATACAACAAACGATACGGACTTCCTTGCGTCCTCGCGTACTTCGTTAATTTCTCGTTGGGAAAAATAAATTGTAGATACGATCAAGAATGGATGAGTGATCGTGACTACAGCCAGATCAAAACAAGATAATACAAGAATCATAAAGTAGCATGGTTTCTTTCGAAGTGGTGACGACCTCCATAGACTGATTATAACCACAGAATTTAGGAATATTCCTGCAACCATAAAGATTATATTTATAATGCACAGAAATACGACGCTAAAAATATCTCCTTTTTGCATATTGAAGACTTGTCTTGCACGCACAATAACTGTTTTTGTTCTGTTTCTTGCTATAATATTGCCTTGCTATTGTTGCTAGAATAATTTTGAAGACACTCATGTATCACCTGTTGTTATATATGCATGTTTAATGCTAAATAATAAACTATTTTGTCGTGTTGAAGTATAGAGTGTCTTTTTGAAGGGTTTTGTTCATGAAAAAAAATTTTAACGCAAATTATTTACATATACTTTAGACCTGTTTGGGAGCAGCTGCGACTACGGTGTTCCCATGTGGAACCAGACTTTTTCCTTTCCCGGGTGTACATAGCCGTGCGAAATTAGTATACCTTCGCCACAGACTTCGCCCTATCAGCCCCACCCGTGGTTCGGGGAATAACACGAAAATTTGTCGAGCAAATGGCCATAGGCCAAGGACAAATTGATTAAATTTTGGTTCAATTTGGATAAAAAATTAGCAGAGAAACTGGATGCGTAGTTAGTATACACACGCAAGTGAATGTTTAATTACAAAATGTTTTATTGTTTTGCTTCTAAAGTATTTAGTAACTCCAGACAAAGGGCCTTCGCTCGAAACGTCAAAATTCTCCTTATATATTTTCAGGTAGTTGCCTCGCTACCAACGAAAGCTTGTTCATACATTTAGAAACTAACTTCCTGACAAAGGACCTTCCCTCGAAAGGTCGAATTTCTCCTTGTATTTTTCAGGTAGTTGCATCCCTATCAACGGAAATTTTGTTACTGTTGGCACTACCTACACTGGCACGACCAGACCGTTGCATTATATGCATGTTCAATGTGAGTTCCTTTTACGCTCTTGAAGAGTTGACATCAACAAAGGAGTCAGTTCAGGATAAAAATATTAAAGTGTGATATACAAACTATATAATCTATATAACCTATAACTATCAATGTTTGTATAACAATAATAAATAAAGTTTTGGAGAGAACGTTGCGTACAAGTATTGGTGAACTACCAAAATGTAACCTAGCTGTAGGGAACAGTACTCTTTATTTACTCTTTCTCGCCCTCCGGATCAACCATATACAATACATATCACCGTCTCTCTGTTAGACCATCTGTTATTCATATCAATCAAGCGTTTTACTCAATTTTTGACTCATAATGCAAGAAAGAAAGTGTTAATTCAGTTAGTAACGTGTCGTTGGAAAGCGTTTACTATCTTTATTCCTTCTCGACGCAGAATTGAATTTCTCCAGAAAAATATCACACAGTTGAATGTCGAGTTCAAAGAGATAAACGTGCTTGACCACAGATGGAATAACAAAAATTGCCTCCCAGATAAACGCGTTTCTGATGCTAAACGTAAAACTGAATATATAATTTCTGGGCAAGAACAAAAGAAAAAGCAGCTAGTCACCAAAGAACATGTAGAAATATTTGTGAGATAAAAGATTCGTTTTTTCCTATTTTCGTCCATCGACGTTGCTGCACTGGGAATATCACTTTCGTCCTCGCGTTTTGACTTCGCGATTTTAAAAGTTTTGTAATTACATGAATAAATGAAGAAGAACAGGAGGGATAAAACAATTATAGTTGAAAGACGATTGCCAAAGGTGTCCGAATAAAAATATACCAATGGTGACAGACCAACTATTATAACCGTCAAAAATGCCTGAAAATATAGAAGCCTTGTTTTTGTGACTGATGCTTGATGGAAAAATGGACACGTTAAAGCTAGGAATCGTTCTATATTCAGCGTAAAAAGCGCGAACATCGAGGAATTACATACAACAAAATATATTGATCTTCTTGTGCGCTCCCATATTTCATTATTTTCTCCAAGAGGAACAGAAATTGTTGACACGATCAAGAGTGGATGAGTGATGGTGACTACAGCCAGATCAAAACAAGATAATACAAAAATCATAAAGTAGCACAGTTTCTTTCGAAGTTGCGACGACCTCCATAGACTGATTATAACCACAGAATTTAGGAATATTCCTGCAACCATAAAGACTATATTTATAATGCACAGAAATACGACGCTAACCATATCACTTTTTGGCATATTGAAGACTTTTCATGCATAGATGCACATTACTGTCCGTTTCTTCTTGTAATTATATATTGGTCTGCCGTATACATTCGATTTACTGAATATTTTAGAAGACACTCGTGTGTCACCTGTTCTCATATGCACATGTTGAAAGCAAAATAAGGAAATATTTTGTCGTTTTCAAGGACTTTAGGGTAAGTGTAATGCGTCTTTTATGGTTTTTGTTAATGAAAATTTATAGGGAAATTGTTATACATATTTTTGAACTGACTGGAAGTATAGCTGCGACCACGTTGTTCCTACCACCTAACTTTTTCCTAATTTTCTCGGCTGTAAATAGCCGTACGGAATCAGAATACTCTCGCAACGGACTTTGCCCTTTGGGCTCCGCGTGTGGTTCCGGTATTAACACAAAATAGGCACCGAACAAATTGATTAAATTTTGGTTCAATTTCGATAAGAAATTAATAAAAGTTTGTGTTGCTTTCCCGGTCAGAGAAACTGAATGCGCAGTTAATCCATCTGCTCATTGTATAATTTATGCACGACACTAATGTATAATTTATGCATGATATCTTGACTTAAAGTGATTCATCACTTTTGCATTGCGCAGTTTTACTGCGCATATCTAATAATTCTAGCTAAGATATGTATAGTCGAACTGCAATGTAAAGTGTTAAAGAAAGAGTAAGGACAATGAGAAAAACACTGTCACTCTGCATTGATTAGGCGTGCTTCAGAAAATATAACTTGAAAAATAACAGAACTCTGGCTAGGGCTCCTGTCAACTAACACTAAACTACGTCATATGTTGCATGTTTAACCCTTACATGTATCCCCCCCCCCCCCCTTCACCCTGCCATCCACCATACAGTTGTAGGTGCTGCTGACAAAAACGTACCATAACGGACAGTGTGATAAAACCGATAGCCACGGAACCGAAAAAACTTTATTACTATTGGACGGCAACTCCTGCACATCGTTTGAATGTTTTAAATCACTATTCCTCAGCAATGTGACTTTCCAAATTATTAACCATGTGATGCCAGCGATACCAATACAATAAAACGCACTGCCCCAATCAACATTGTCCAGAAGTAAAGAACCAGCAACACCAATAAGGACAGAACTGGAGAAAACAAGGGCAAAATTCTCATCATTATGATTTGTTATGAAGTAAGTTAACATAGGTTAACTGTAGGCTAATCTTGAACTGTTTTTGCCAGTGTAGGTAGTGCCAATGAAATAAACAAGCTTTCGTTGGTAGGGTACAACTATGTACCTGAGTCAGGGCTCGAATTTTATCGCGGCAATGGCGGCAAATGCCGTAGAGGGAGTACAAAATGCCGTGGATCATTGCGGCGACGGCAATTTTTTGCCGTGTAGTGCAATTTTTATACTATTCACTGTGCATTACTACTTTGATACTTGAATTCAGATGTTGATCAAATCATGCGTACATGTAAATCACTATTTTAGTCTCAGTTTTCTTGGAAAAAAAAACACTAAAGAAGTACGTACAGTACTAGACATGTTTCTAGCTTGTCATAAATCCAAAGTAACAATAAAATTAAAGTTTTATTACAGTAATTTGAAAAATGCCGTGGAAACTGCCAAAATTGCCGTAGACAGTTGTTACGTTCTACGGTAATTTTTAACGCCATTGCCGTCGATTGATTTCAGGGAAATTCGAGGCCTGACCTGAGTAAGCATCCCTAACAATGAAAGCTTGTTCGTTTAACTGTAGGCTAACATAGTGGAATTACCCATTAAGTTGAATTACACCCTAAAGTGCCCTACTTTACTTGTCAAGTGGAGAGCACTCATTCTGGTGCTCAATGGGTTAACAACTGAAGACACATTGGCAGGTGTATTGGTTAACACATTGGGCACTCCTCTTGTCAAGTAAAATCGTCTGGTATTAGACAGAGTAAAATGATAAAGTAGGGCACAGTAGTAACCCATTATCTCTGCTGGCATAAACCCATTAAGTTGCATTGCACCCTGATACGATACTTTGTCTAACGCCAGATGATTTACTCGCAAGGGGTTGAATGCTGGCAGTTTAAAAGGATGTTTTCAACTTAACTTCTAAATGAATACATTTTTAATGCTTTAACCCATTGAGTTGCATTGTAGCCCAACCAGCCCTACCTTATTATAATTTTACTCTATCTAATGCCAGATAATCTTACTCATCGAAGGGAAAGTTCTGGCACTCAATTAGTTAATGTAACTTTGTAATGCAATTACATCAGAAATAATTATCAGAAATATATTACATGTAGCTGCATTGACACAGCATGGCCACAGGTTCTATTCTTGCTAGAGGAGGAAGGCCTATTTTACAGTAGTTGAACATTTTCACCAGGGCTCGAATTTTATCGCGGCAATCGCGGCAATTGCCGTAGAGGGAGAACATAATGCCGTGGATCATTGCGGCAACGACGGCAATTTTTTGCCGTATAGTGCAATTTTTATACTATTCACTGTGCATTACTATTTTGATACTTGAATTCAGATGTTGATCAAATCATGCGTAAGTCACTATTTTAGTCTCAGTTTTCTTCGAAAAAAAAAATACTAAAGAAATACGTAGACGTGTTTCTAGATTGTCAAAAATCCAAAGTAACAATAAAATTAAAGTTTTATTACAGTAATTTGAAAACTGCCGCGGAAACTGTCAAAATTGCCGTAGACAGCTGTTACGTTCTACGGCAATTTTTAATGCCATTGCCGTCGATTGATTTCAGGGAAATTCGAAGCCTGACCTGAGTAGGCATCCCTAACAATGAAAGCTTGTTCGTTTAACTGTAGGCTAACATAGTGAAATTACCCATTAAGTTGAATTACACCCTAAAGTGCCCTACTTTACTTGTCAAGTGAAGAGCACTCATTCTGGTGCTCAATGGGTTAACAACTGAAGATACATTGGCAGGTGTATTGCATGTTAACCCATTGGGCACTCCTCTTGTCAAGTAAAATCGTCTGGTATTAGACAGAGTAAAATGATAAAGTAGCACACAGTAGTAACCCATTATTTCTGCTGGCATGAACCCATTAAGTTGCATTGCACCCTGATACGATAGTTTGTCTAACGCCAGATGATTTACTCGTCAAGGGGGTGAATGCTGGCAGTTTAAGAGGATGTTTTCAACTTAACTTCTAAATGAATACATTTTTAATGCTTTAACCCATTGAGTTGCATTGCAGCCCAACCAGCCCTACTTTATTATTTTACTCTATCTAATGCCAGATAATCTTACTCATCGAGGGGAAAGTTCTGGCACTCAATTAGTTAATGTAACTTTGTAATGAAATTACATCAGAAATAATTAGCAGAAATATATTACAGTACATGTAGCTGCATTGACACGACATGGCCACAGGTTCTATTCTTGCTAGAGGAGGAAGGCCTATTTTACAGTAGTTGAACATTTTCACAGATATGCTCCCAGTCATTGGTCTTTTCAGAAGTTCTTCTGTTAAACTTACCCGATACAAGCACCAGAATTTATGATCCCATTTGTAGAAGACTTATGAGCTGTCTCAAGTTTTTTCCCTAACAGACTTGCCATTGCACCAGGAAACGCGCCTTGAAACAGACCCATAAGAAACCTCAGAAATAAATACATCGTTGACGTGGACACAAAGTGTGAAGAACGAATCACAAAAGGTGTAGAGAGTGTAATCATTATCCATGAAGCATTAGTCCAGAATAAAACGTTGTCACCTCCATAAATATCACCCATCCAGCCACCAAGGAAATGACTCATCCCTGCACCCCAGAAATATGCAGAAAGTATAGAACCCTGAAATGTATACACATTCAGAGTGTTAGCTACATTCAAAGGTTTGGCATTATGCACTGTTTTACCAATTACGTTTAGCTGCCGATTTCCCAATTTGGCGAGAGCAACTGTTGACTTGTCACACTTGCAGGAAATTGCATAATCTCTTTGGCACAAAAAATCACTGACAACAGTACTAACTCAAAACTCAAAAACATTTAACATTTACTCATGTTTCAATTACACATACAACACATAAATAGACATGGCTATCCATCATAATGCATGGCCAATTATTAAGTTTGTCTTGCTAATTAATATGCACCTAGCAGGGCTGCAAATTACTGTCGAACATCGGACAATGTCCGACTAAATTTGGCAAATGTCCGAGCAAAAGTAATTTGGATCGGACATTGGTCAGATCAGAAAAAAAATTGTCGCATTATGCATTTTTTTGCTGTGACAAAATCCAATTGCAAATTCATTCAATTTGCATTTTGCAATAAAATTGACGAGGCATTCTAGCATTTTACTTATAATGTTGCACCGGAATAGCTCTCATACTTGTCTTGTGACTTATATATATATATCTTGTGACGTATGTATATATATCCGACCAAATTTAGTGGTGTTGGTTTTTGTCCGACCAAATTCAAGTTATGTCCGACCAAAATTAAAAGTGATCAGACAAATGTCCTGTCAAGTCAAATATTATTTATTTGCAGCCCTGACCTTAGCCTACGGTGTAGACCCCAGCAGAAACACGTTTCGTGAGGAGTCTACGAATAAACGAAGAAAAGCTTGCCCGGCGTACGTCATATCCGTTTTACGTTTTGGGTAAATTAACTCCAATTTATTCAAATTTCTGAAGCGTGCGTGAATGTAAATTTTCATTTGGCGCTTTATATTAAAATGTTCCATGGCGGTCTTTGTGCAATAAAATATACCCTGACTATATATATATATATATATATATACCCAACCATTAAACACATGTTCGAACAGACTAAAAAGTTCTTGTCATTCGTACAAACTGTTTATAGGCTGTTGAAGGCTTAAAACTTGTCAAGATATCCAATTTCCGAAGTCGAAGACAAAGTCGATTTCACACTAAATGTAGCCGGCATAAAAGCTAAGCTTTTATAAGCTTTATCGCAAGTCGGCTCGAATCCTAGTTGGTTCACGACATTTATCAATAGCGCCTAATGCTGTTTCGTGCACGTTGGTTATCGTATTGTCTAGGCTCTAGTTCACATATTAAACCGTTCTTTGAAGCTTCTGCATTTCACCGTTTGTTTACCAACGCCAGGCGGGTGAAATGGAGAAGGAAAGGTCGTCTAACTCCTTAGTCCTTACGTACAGCGTCCTTGCTGTCCAAGAAATTAATATCGCTTTTATTCGACGGGACTTTGAAGTAAAGAACACATTTGTATTGCACAATGCCCGCCATGGAACATTTTAATGTCTTTAATAAGCGCCAAATGAAAATTTACATTCTCGCACGCTTCAGAAATTTGAATAAATTGAAGTTAATTTACCCAAAACGTAAAACGGATATGACGTAGGCCGGGCAAGCTTTTCTTCGTTTATTCGTAGACCCCTCACGAAATGTGTTTCTGCTGGGGTCTACACCGTAGGCTACCCTGACCTAGACTAGGATTCGAGTCAGTAAAATTTGGCATGCTGCAAGAGCGACAAGTCGACTCAACAAAACCCCCATCACTAAGATCCTTACTTTAAGAAATTTGAGCTCAACCACACAGCTAAATAATACAACATATTGACAAATAATGTTTTCTTGCCTTGTTCCAAAGCTAGTCATACCAGCTTTTGGACAAGGCACAATTTGTTTGTGTGTATGGCGACCAGAGAAGGATTTTCATATTTTCGTTTGGGGGGTGGATAAATATCTATGGGGTGCTGCTGCTTGCTTTGGCCGGGGCGTGGTGGCAACGCCCAGAAAGGCCAAGGAAAACGTTTAAACAAAATTTGTTTTCTAGGCCTGCATGGCGAGATCTGAGACCATAATGTTGGTAATTTTACAAATTTAGTAGTAAGAATAATCAAATATGAAACTATCAAATCAAAATATAATTGTATAATTTGTAGGGGTGCAAAAACTTTTGGGGGCGGTGCCAAATGCCTCTGGGGTGTGCAAATCCTCTGGGGGGTGCAAATCCTCTGGGGGGTGCACCCCACCCCCCAGAAAATCCATGCCTGACGGCCACCAAGGAAAACTTGACAAGTGTACAAGAAATACTTCTATGGTTTTAGCAAACAAAAGGCAGTCTTGACGTGAGACAAGCAACAAAACTTGTCAAGGAAAACTTGTTGACCATACACACAAGAAGGTAAGCTTCTCAAGGAAATCTTGCACATCTGTCCAGGGCTTAAGACTGGGCCATTAGACTAAAGCCCTGGACAAATGAGAATGAGAGTTGATGAAAGTCGAGAAGCGAGAGTTTGCATGAGAGTTTTCTCAACTCTCATGCCCTGGTCACAGAGTAGAGACATACAGAGACGTAACTGACCATCGTAAACACTGCGGAAGATTACGTTATCATGTACCGGTACCCACTTTTTTTCAGGCGACCAGGCGAAAAATGATCAACTGCGCATGCTCAGCAAGTTTAAAGTGGTCGTCATCAGGTCGTCATCCAATCAGATGCATGCATCTAGTAACTTGCCGAGCATGCGCACAAAAAAGTGTGCACTAGTTATGTCTCTGTATGTCTCTACTCTGTGCCCTGGTCAAGCGAGAGCAAGAGTTGCATGAGCGTTGATGAGAGTTAACTGGATATTTCCATACAATGGCAAAAACTCTTACCAACTCCCATCAAAATTTGAACGAGTTCAAAGTCAATCAGAGTTGATGAGACTGCACGAGAGTCGATGAGAGTTGGGTGGTCAAACGTGAGTGAGAGTTACAACTCTTGTCGAGTCTCATTCATTCAAAATCAAGACCTCCAAATACTATTAATATTATACCTGAACGTCTTTATCCCACCCAAATTCCTTCGACAACGCGACCATAGTTACTGGACCAACCGTACGCGACATAAACGACAGCATTAGGCCAAAAAACAACGCCAAAGTCCAAGATCTTCGCTCCCCATATGACCAAGATTCCACATTCTCAGCTTTACCAGGTTCCAAGTTTCGCGCCATGTTTTAAGCGATCGTGTTATGTTCTTACGAGTTTAATAAGTTTGATTATTTTCTTTGGCATAGTTGTGAGCGATTTTAGAAAGTGGGCGAAATAATTGCCCATAAATTTAGCAGAATAAAGCTTTTTTGTGAATTTTTCTGTGACATGTTTTGATTTGTGACACGTTTGTTTGACACGTTTTCCTGATCCTGAAAGACGAGCCTTCGGCACAGAATAAAGATCAGAACAAGGTAAGATTAGTGATACTTTATGTAATGCACCATGACATGGACACTGGAATTTCACCGGAATAAGTTGCTTTTTCTATGCTTTTTCATACACAAAAGCGCCCATCTGATCCATTCGATATTATTGATTTATTGTCTATTTTGAAATCAATTGTGTGGATAGGCTCAGATTCCAGCCGTTGCACGTACTCGGCACTCGCCACCCTAAAGTGCCGAATCTGGGCCTATATCGTGTGGATCGCTAACTTCAAAATTCGCTTTAGTAGTAATTTTGGAGCGATTTAATTGATAGTTTCCACAATATTTATTTCAAAATAGACATATATTTCTATCATATATTTCAGTTTATGTATTTCTATCTCAAATTGAGGTTCAAACATTTGTTTATTTTGTTACACTTCCAAGATAGACTTAAATTCAAATCAATAGAATGCCATAGTAAATTCATCATAACTCTTCGAGACTAAAGGCTATGATGAAAATTCTTGCAGATTCCGAAAGCTGAGTTCTTTCTCGTTTGAATGGTGTGCGTCGGACATGATTTTTTTCTTTTTCATGAAGTGTTTTTGAAAACTGAAATAGTCTTATCTTGGACCACTGGAGTGGTTTTTGCTGCAAGTATTCTTTTTTTGCGTGACAAACTGAGTCAGTTTTTCATACGATGCTTTTCACAATATGGCTCTATCACAATCACCAAAACTCAAAAGGCCACAGTGACAATGTCTTTGATAAAGAAAGTCGATAAATTGCCTAACTCGGCAAATTGTGAGATCGAGAACTACTGTGACGATATCATAGAATAGTGTGCTTACGAGAGGCTAGAGTACTCACATACACAGGTCTCACTGCTGCAGAAAAATTTTTACCAAAATGGCAGGCGCCTATGTTCTTGGCAAGAGCCGTAAAGAGAGGCATTCGCCCCGGCTGGAACATTAAATTTCAACATGTTTTCAGGGAGGTGACGGCCTCTCTTTAGGGCACTTGCTGAGAACATGGCGGACTGAGAAACTCCCTCACGCAAAATTAAACAGAAGTGAGACCTCTGTATGTACTTCTTCTGTGGTCTGGGGGCGAATGCCTCTCGTAATGGCAATTGCTAGATAGTTTACTTCAAAATAAGGTTCCATTTTTATATAAATTTTTAAAATAAGTTAGGGTTAGGTTAGGGTTTAGGTTAGGGTTAGGTTGGGGTTAGGGGGAGGTTTAGTATTAGGGTTAGGGTTTAGTTTTGCGTCGGGATAGTTTTTTCTACGTTATAAAAACGGAAACCTCATTTTGAAGTATACTATCTAGCGATCACCCTCTCGTAATCGGCACCATTGAGCCACAGAGAAGAGATATACAGAGAGGAAACTGACACTCCATAACCTCAATTTTTGTGTCACGCGTTCCACGCTCCACGAAAATCTTACCAGTGCCGTCGCTGAAATTTCATAGGGAAAACGCCGTTCGAAAGGTCGGAAAATCGCTTTTTTAAAAAAATGAGATATCTACCCATGGAAGTTTTCTCTTACACAAAAAAAACATGAATACTTCTATAATATGTGTAGTATTTTCCTCTGCATGATCAAAATTTAATAAAATAGTGAATTAATATAATTTTCTATAGTTAATAGACTGAATATATCGGCGTGACACAATTTCCCGCGTGTTTCCTCTCTGTATATCTCTTCTCTGTGATTGAGCGGCCGACTGGCTATAGGAACATGGCGAGTGCATTTTGTTAGCGAATCATGGCGTCATTGGCGTGGCAGCATTAGCAGTTAAGCTGTTTTTTTGGCTGAGTCGGCCTTCTGTCAGACCTCTATTCTTCTCCCCTGGAATCCTTTTTTAGATTTGATATGTTTGCGTGTTTAGAATGAAGCCACGCGCCGCAGATGTGAGCCGCTATGAGCAATACAAAAGATATAAAAATTAAAGAATGCAGCTGAAAAATTTTTGAATGCTCTTTATTGAATGACTACTTTTACTATTGAACTAAACAAAACTATGTTGAACTCCAGAAGATACGTTGAAACGAATCGTTATCAAGAAATCTAAAAGAGAAAGATGAACATATAAGCATATGAAACCTAATTTACTCAAAATTGCAGTTTGTTTGGCCCACCCCTGTTTGCAAGCATGAACATGGTGGCCCACCTCCATATTTCCCCCCAGCCCATCCCTTCTCTATTTTATGACCAGTCCCTAAGCAGAAGTCGCGGTCCATGAATTCTCGGAGAAAAACTTAGCCAACTATATCATCATACCTTTTCAGTCGTAGAGGGATAACCCTTTAACAAGCTTTGCATGTTTTTCTGCAAATCTGTTTCCAAACGAGGTTAGGGACGAAAGGAGAAACAGCGTCGTCACATTTTGTGAGATCAGAGGCAGGATAACTACACGCGTTGGCAGGATCAGGCAAAACTATTCCGGGATTCACTGATGTGATAGGAAAGTCTGGATGGTCAATGCATGGCACTGCAAGAAGAGGAAAGACAAAATCAGTCAATATATATACGGCTTATTCTATATTTATATGAGAAAACGATTCAATTCTGGGGATGAATGATGGAGAGAGAAGTTTAGTGAAGGTGTCTGCTGTTCAAATTCTTTGTTTGCAATGACATAATTTTGGGATTTAATGTATAATTTGGGGATAAATGTATTGATCGAGTTTAGAGACAGTGTAAGACTCAAAAGATGAAATTACCGTTCAGTTTTTCTTCCTAAAACCATTCGGATAGGAGAAAAATTGTCCAAAAGTTGTTTGATTGCCCGTCGTTTGGATGAAAACTCACGTACGTGATTGCAAACAAAGAATATGGGATGGTTCTTAGCTGGTTAATTTGTTAGGTAGTTGGTTGGTTAGTTGGTTAGCTAGCTAGTTAGTTAGTTGGTTAGCTAGCTAATTAGCTATTTAGTTAGCAAGTTAGCTAGTTAACTAGTTAGCCAGTTAGCCAAGTTAACCTGTAGGCCATGAAATTAGCCAAGTTAGCCTGTTAGCCAAGTTAGCCAGTTTGCTTGTTAGCTACAGAGCAAAAAAAGCCCAGCTTGTAACAATGTTGTTGAAAACAGCCTGAGGCCTGAACAATATTTTGCTGCCCATATTGTTCCCGGTTGTTAACAATATTGTTCTGCATTGTTCAGCCTGAACAATGCTCAACAATATTGTTAACAACCAGGAAAAATATGGGCAACAAAATATATTGTTGAAGCCTGTTTTCAATAACATACAGGCTGGGCGTTTTTTTTTTTGCAGTGCAGTGAAATAGGTAATAATGTGCTTACGTGCTCAGTTTACTTACATTTTACAGTGATATGAAACTCACAAAAGGCCTTGTTGTTGGACCTATCAGAAACGTGGTATCTAACCAAATGAGTTCCCACGGGGAATTGGGAATAATTCACGCGGTCGCAAAACACGCTGACATCTTTTCCAGAATTATCCGTGACTGTAGGTTCTTTCCAAGAGACACGAATCATATTCTCTCCTTTCTTTGTCGTGAGGGCAATGTTACTTGGACAGCTTGTAATCTTCGGTGCCTCTTTATCTATGGTTAAATATTGCAACCATTGCTCATAGTTAATGCACGCTTATATTATTACTGAACCCGCACCACGTTATTTAGAGATTCCTTCTTCAACCGCTTTAAAGCGCCTTAGTGCCACTCTGGGACAATCAACCGACTAATATAAGACAATCTACCATCTATTCAGCATTGAAAACGAAACTTTATTTATTCTATACAGCGCAAAACTTGGTAACAGTTTGACACTGAATAAATGAACATGGAAAACTGTGTGCCAAAAATGCATGGTCATTAGGGAGATTATGCTAATTAATAGCTCTTTGAAAACATTCAACGAAAATTTTGCCAAGAAAATTTGTACCTGTCGTTTGCCGTTCACGGAAACGTGAAGCTTAAACTCCCTATTACTTTATACGGTTGATAAATCTGTTCGATTGAATGTTCGATTTAATGCTCTATGTGCTTGCTGCTTGCAGTTGACCATGCTAGTTTCTTTGTCGTTATCAAGATTTTTGTGGCATCTCCATTGATATAAGATATAACCAGGAACAGAAGCGAAAAATGCAACTTTAGGTCCCGGGTATTGTGTTTGACTAATGTCCCCATGTGGGTCGCACTTTTGACCGGTGGTACTCCTAGTTTATCTTACCTTGTATACGATAGAGGAAATAACATTTCGCCTCATTTCCAGCCTCGTCTGTTACGATATACTTCACCTCATGATAGTCAAAGCGCCGGGGAGTAATGCTCAGCTCGTGTTCCTTCTTCACTGAGACAGGCTTGCCATCCAGGGTTGCGCTGAAACTTAGCTTCCCGCCATGCGCCTCGGAATTGTCAGTATAGGAAGGAGTAGGGAAACTGACCTTGGCGGTTGCCTTTCCCGGGTCGCTTTGATGAGTTATCACTTGATCTTTTGACGGGCACTTCAGATCGGGCGGCTGGCGATCTAGAATACAGTATAAGACCCCGCGTATAAGAACTTAGACTTTATGAATCTGTTAGAGTAAAATTGCTTATTTAGACACCCTTTATATAAGAACATGTTTATAGGCTAAAATTTCAAACAGGTTCTTATTTTATTTTTATCCGCTCTAAGAGTTGAAACTAGAAAATTTATACTGAATCACTTGGTGTATAGCAAAGCATAATTTTCAATTGAGATCGGGAGCCAATTGTTTAAAGCTGGATCAGCGCTCTCCCTGGATTAAAATTTAACGTTGTTTCGGTTTGTGGATTTTTGCACGTCCGTTTATTTCAAAACTTTAGTAAATAAAACTTCTGTTGATGGAGACAAGAGTCGAAGAAAAATATTTCCATGTTTAAAAGCAAGCTGTTGGGAGAATTCAGAGACGTACAGACCGATATGTTTCTGGGCGGGTGAACACAAAACTTTGGGCCCAAACTTTGGGTTTTAACCCCCCCCCCCTCCCCTCCTGTCGGCACGGCGCTGGGAAGATTGCTTTGAAGATTTTGTTGACCTAGGATTAAGCTAACCCACTGACCACAGCAGTTTACCTTTGCACACAACGTCACGGCCTTCCCATTGTCCATCTTTGGAACAAAACAATCCAGCCTGATCAGGATATCCGGGGGGACATGACATTCTGCATAATGTGCCGTAGGGACTGGATCCTGTCAAGCAACTTGGAGGGTCTGAGATTGATAAACGACCCGTCTTTGGAGGTTGGCACATCACAACTTTAAAAAAGAAACTATGGTCATTAAAGTGGCCGAGAGAAACTACACAGGTAAACTTGTCAACAAGACGAGTTCGCAACAGACTTGTAGCAAGCTTTTCAAACAAGTTGTTACAATGTTGTTATTTGAATTTCAGGACGATAACAAGTGGTTGGAACAACTTGTGACAAGTCTGTTGAGTCAACAACCTTGTGACAAGGTGTCAACAAGCCGTTGACAATTTGTCAACAATCAGGGTTTGTACAACTTATGCGTTTTTACGTGTGTAGGAAACAAATATTGCGGAAACGTTGATCACTAGCCATCTTTCCAAATCGTTAACCTCCTTTTTTTTCGAAATTATTGCAGAAAAAAGTTGCTTAGCCATGTTTCATGGAGTAAGCCAAACAAAGAAACATTGTTTGCTAGACATGTTTGAAGATGTTTCCTATATTGTGAACAAAGCATAAAGCATTTACCAGAAAATTGTTTTCTAGCCATGTTTCCCGAAGTTAGGCAAGCCATGAAACATGCACTTTACCAGGCCATGTACCAAAGGTGGACAAACTATAGGAACTGTTTGACAGACACATTGTTTCATGGCACTGAATTTAATTCCTTCTGAATAAACCGTGCAGCTAATTACAACCTACTGAACAGGGACGCCGGAACGATGTGAAGGCAAGGGGGGCAGATTTTCGTGAAAGGGCACTTTTGAATTGATATATACTAAGAGATGTTTACAAAACATTGGGAGTTGAACTTCGCCTATAATCATGTTTTCTATTTATTGGATTGTAGGGGTGTGAGGGGGTTCTCCGCCAGGCAATTGTGCTATTCTTGAAGCTCGATGGCTGCATTTCTTGCATTTTCTGAAGCAAATTCGTAAAAGAATTGCACTAACAGTTCTGACAATTCGCTATTTCGCCAAGGCAATCCTTTAAATTGAAAGGGCACCTTTGCCCCCTTGCCCCTCCAGCCCCCCCCCCAGTTCCGGCGTCCCTGCTACTGAATAGCTGTCACATATGTAAAGATGGTGAGGTGCAGTTCAACATCAAACAAAGGTCTATTTTGCAGCTTTGAAGTGTACCTTGACATACTATGCAAGTAAGAAATTCTCTTCAAGGGTATAATTGGGTAATGAACTTTGCAATGGATCGAGGCTTGACAGGCCTGTTCAATTCAAAATACCCACTTAATTCTCTATTTAAAAATACAACACGTCCAACCTTCACATTTGCCAAGAGCTGTGGTCCATTCTCCATTTTTGCAAACTGCCTCACTCGGTCCTTTCAACTTGAATCCTTCATAACACTCAACCCGCAATGTCTCACCCTCCGACCGGTTTATCCAATCACCGCGCAAGTAACCATTTTTTGGATGTCCGGGAAATTTGCATCTTATCTGGGATCCTGTCAGAAAATCGAATTTAAAAACGATTAAGCATAAATAAATTTAATTTAGTTAAGTTTTTTTGCTTAAAATCATGCAGTGGCGAGCTAGCCATGGCAACTGATCATGGTCATGCTAATAAACCTGCATCTAAATATAGGTCATAAAGACAATACATTTCTAAAGTTTCTGGTATTGTGCTCTCAGGTGAAGATATATGTTTGTGATGTTGCTGTGGGTGTGTCCACATCTTACTTGACCGCTGCAGTGGGAATCAAACCAGCGAGACTTTCGCTTTGCTAGTCCAATGCTCCAGCAACTGAGTTACGAGGTGAATTCGGTTCGAGTGGGTGATATTTCGAAACTCAGTTCCTTCGTTATCTTGCACAGCAAACCAAAGGTCGTGGGTTCGATTCACACCGCGGTCAAGCAAACTTTGAAGCTTGCACGATGTGAACACACTCAGAGCAACATCGCAAACATACATCTAGAGGCTTGAATAATGTAAATCATTAAAAATTTGCATAGCATGCATGACCTGTTGCTATGGAATAGCTTAGTCACTGGCTAAAACTAATAAAAAACACTTTTCGATGGAGGATCGCGATTGGACTGCAAAAAAGTATGTAAGTAAGTGGTGGTGTGCTAATCATCCTTATACTTGCAGCTGTGATCTAAGCTGGATCGCGAAGGACGCAGTTCATCCTGATCGAGTCAAAGGCTTACTAAGGGCGCCTCTGGCATGCCACCGTAAGAATCGTGTCTGATCACGGAACGGAATGTCCGTTAGGGTTAAGGCTGATAATGCCAACCCACCCTGGCAACATTCCCTGCGAGTGCGGGAGGAAATCGAAGTACCAGGAGAGAATCCATGACTTCAGGTATAGAGGGTTGACTGCCTCTTTTCACACAAGTGTCGACGTCAGTCCGGGAACAAGAATTGTACCCACGATCTCAAAGGTGATCCCTGTATATTAGCGCATACCTTCAGAGCTCCCAAACACAACTGCAAAAACAACACCAAAACACAGAACCCAATTCATCGAGACTTCAGATTTTCCCTGCCGATACACCTCTGCAAAACTCTCAATAAAGCTATACTGCAAAGTGAGATCCCGCTAAATACAACACATTCTTTTATACAAAACGAGTTAATAAAACTCGCAGTCAAATATTTACCATCGCGTGAATTGAATCTTGCTAAAAAACAAACTTAATTTTGAAAACAATTAACATAGGTAATCGTTCAAAGTGAAATTTGTCAAATGTAATTAAAACTCGAACAAATATGATTAAATAGTTCTCAAAACAAAATCAACACTTGACTGAGCAGGGCAAATATCAGCAAAATTATCGTGGGATACTTTTTTGTGGTTAATTAGCCTTTCTCGCGATGACGAATATCCGCCATTTTTGGGTGGCATCTAATTCTCGTTAACCAATGCAGACAATTAAAACAATGTGAAAAGCCGCAATTTTTCAAAATAAACTAACCATTTACAAAGCAAATTTACCATCGTTCGTCCAAAAAATTATAAAAAGTCGCTGTTTATGTGGACTTATCTGGCAGACTTCGCTGAAAAGCCACCAAAAATGGCGGCGTGAAAAAGGCTAATTGCCTAGTTGCTCTCGTTGCCCAAACCTTTTTTTACAAAAACTACACTTTGAAAGCCGTGCGTTATTCAGATGGATTGAAATTGAGAACTGTTTTCAAGCAATTTAACTCAAATAAGAATCTGAAATTCCTTTCAGAAACATTGCCGAGGTTTTCACCTTAATGATAAAAAGTAAAAACGAAAGCCTTCCCATGAAACGAAGAAAAATGTTCTAGTCAATGTCGAAATTTGTCTAACTATACCAGTTACATGCAAGTAATCAAGTATCCGTACGGCAAAAGTTTAAAGAACATTGCCGCCCACAAAAATCAAGGCTCAGAACTAGGTGCCCTTTTTAAATGGCTGCCCCCGCCGCTTCCGGCACCCCTGAGTGCCAATGAAAAGTGCTCGGGTAGGGAAGAGTTATTGAATAGGTCTTGAACTCTTGTAAACTACTACGTGCATACTTCATAGCCACGGTTTGTGGCTACAAGGTATGCATGTTAACGTTTTCGGCATACCTTCCAGGTGATCTCGTGTTCGTATTTTAGCCAATCAGCGCTCAGAAAGGGTTGTCCGAATAGAAATCCATTTTGATGTATTTAGTCAATTCCATCTTTCGTTATTCTTTATGAAACTAGTTGAAATTTTGTAATTATGTTTGGTTATAAGAACTATAGCTCTGACAAAAATATGGAATCGAAATAAAGTATATTACAGGAGATATTCAGTTGTTTTAATCATAAAATGGATTTCTATTTGACAACTAGTGCCAGTACTTTTCCGCATATCAAGATCATCTGGTTATATAGCCACGGTTTGTGGCTGTAAAGTATGCCTGTTTTCGGCACATACCTTATAGCCATGGGTTGTGGCTATAAAGTATGCCCAATTTCGGCATATCTTATAGCCACGGTTTGTGGGGGGCATGCCTGTTTTCGGCATACCTTATACCCACCGTTTGTGGCTATAAAGTAGGCCTATGCCTGTTTTCGGTATATATAGCCACGGTTTGTGGCTATAGGGTATGCATGTTTTGGGCATACCTAATTATAGCTACGGTTTGTGGCTACAAAGCATGCCTGTTTTCGGCATATCTTATAGCCACGGTTTGTGACTATAGAGTATGCCTGTTTCGGCATGCACAGGCCGGTCCATCATATATTTAGCCATTATCGTTACAGAAAGGTGGCGAGGTTATTCACTTTAGAATTAGATAAACAACGTAAAAATATATAAACACAATTTTTAAGATAATTTATGCGCTATATGGTTTGGCGCGAAAAATGTTTGCTTTTGATTTTAACAACCAAATATTAAGCTGTCTATATGTATATAATAGAAAATGGACAAAATGAATTATCAATTCACGCTGCAGCCAAAAATTGCTTTGCCCGATAAATAATTAGATTAAGTAAAACGTCAATCATGATAATATTTGGTAGAATGTTCATGCACTTGAAATTACCGCCGATGGAAATCTCTCATACTGAATAAATATGGTTATGGGCGTCTCGTTCGATAAGACAAAGTGATTTAGTAGGAAAATTTATATGCAATTTTAGACCTAACCCAGGAGCAGTTTGCGAAAATGCAACTATATCGGTCCTCCAGCGCTCTAACCAACTCAGCTACAGAGATACAGTCGTCGAGCTCCAGCCACAAGTTCATGTATAAATACTAAAGCCGGTTTTCCACTAGGCGGAATTTTGCACGCGGAGCGGAATCTTTCTTTGTCTTTTCTAATTAGTTCCACCCGAGAAATCACAAGACAAAGAAAAATTCCGCTCCGCGCGCAAAATTCCGCCTAATGGAAAACCGGCTTAAGGACGTGCAGGGGCGTGGGAAGCATCAAAAACCGGTTTCAAGGGGCACTTTTGGTATGAAAAGGGCACCTAAAAAATTTTTCCCGGAAATCTTGGCGACAAGGGGGTAGGATAGGAAAAATAAATGCAATCTTAAATCAAAGGCCGTTGAGGCCGACTCACGGATGCGATCAAATGAAAGTGACAGAAAGAATTAAAGCAGTTTGCAGTTGTTTTTGCAAACAGGCACCGTGTGAATTTTGCCATTTGTCGTGCTCCAGCCCAATTTCTGATTCTGAAAGGTCCGATTCTCAGGCAAAGAGTGCGCGCCAAGCAGGCTGGTCATTTCTCATTGTTTAACTGCCCCACAGTCAAGTAACCACAAAGACTCACAGATGTTGCTTTGCAACATCCGTGAGTCAAAAACGCTATCTGAACGGCAACATTTTTCACGAAAGCAAAGGGCACTTTGCCATGCACCAGGAAAAGGGTACTTTTTGTGCCTTCTGAAAACATGGGTGCCTTCTGAAAACATGGGGCCTTGCCCCCCCCTCCCCTCCCTCCCACCTCACTAGATATAACCGCAGCTTGGATTCCTGCCAGAAGGCAGAGTAAAAATTCCAGGCGAAAATTTCGATCAACAAATCATCTACAAAACAATTAGTTAGATCGAGCGAGATGCCAAAATCCAACGAACTTCTGAAGAAAACTCAAAACCATGGAATAAAATATCTTTAATAACACGTATAGAATTACCTATATTTTACATACCGATGTGCAAGCTGCAAACGTGCAAAATTACTGATGAGTTTCTGTATTACTTGTTTATGACATGTAAATATTGAATAGCTATGATAATCATGATGTGTATTCGGTGCAAATTAAAAAAAAATGAAAATTGAAATTCTAGTCAACCACAATCATATTCCTAAAAAAACCCCAAAAGATGTAAATAAAGCAAACGAGAAAGAAAGTGTTTTCGATGTTTACTCAAATGCATATAAAGCCTGGCCCACACGACGTAACAAATGGGGAGGCGGGGGGAGGGGGTGTACCAGACATCCTTTCCATCCCTTTATTTCTGTCTTTTCAGACTCGATCGTTTTAGCCTGGGCTGAGATTCCAGGCTCGAATTGAACTGAATTTCCAAACTCATTCCGGGCTGATATTTGCCGTTTAATCGTGAAACAATTTCAGCTCGGGTGGAAATTCAGCCCGGGCTGGGAACTCCCCATGTAATCAGCCGCTATAAGCCAACATCATACCTTGCGTGTTGCCAAGATGAAGCAGAAGGACTGGGATAATTTAACTGCAATCGTTGCAAGTTTTGCGACAGAAATGTTTCCAAGGGATTGGTAAACCAACAGCAGCTGGGGAATTGCATTTTGCTGTGAGATTCGCAGCTGCGCGCACGTCATCGCACGAGAACATCGGGAAGTTCGTATCTTTACAGATCTCTGGAAAATAAGATACAGTTCAGAAATAAGAACGAGTTACAATAGAGGGCCTTAGCTATATAGAAGGTCTTGTTCGCCGTGTTACTACGAGCAAAAATAGAAAAACACACGAGCGTGGCTTGATATAACAATAATTTATTTGCCAAAACTGTTGAGCTACATTTAAAAGCTGAATATTAAAATTATTAAAAAACAGCATTGATACTCAAGAGAAGCTCAGATTGAACCTCCACTCATTGAGTGTGAGTGAGCTTTTAGAATACGGGCGTAAGACCCGCACATTCTACCGGGGTCCGGGGTCATACTGCCCCGCAAAGCTTTGAATTTGGGAATGGCCATTTTAAAAAATTATTACCCCGCCCAGCATTGGCAAGCATGAGTGCATGAGCAATAGCCTCGCTACTTAGAACTATAATTCACTTACGTCTAACGATAATGTAGAACTGACAAACAGCCTCATTTCCAGATCGGTCCGTGGACATGTATATGACTTTATGAACTCCAATGTAGTACTGGTGATAGGGATGTCTGTTTAAGCTCACGTGAGGATCTTGCCCGGAATTGTCCGTGAATGTGGGTTCTATCCAGCCCACCCTGATTCGGTCACGGTCTGTCGTCTTGGTGAGGTTGGTTGGGCACCCTGTGATCACTGGTGGTTCTTTATCTGGTTGTAATACAGAAAAGTATGGATGTATGGTACACACTTATCTCAAATCTACCACTGGATAGTCCATCCGCTATACATAAATGAAGCCAATGGCCGGGCGGCCATATTGACTATGTGACGACCACAAATCTACTGGGGTCTTGGTGACATAGTAGAGGTTCTTAAGGCCCGTTTACACGCGGGCAATTTTTGGTGCCATTTTCTCCTTTTGGAGGATGTGAAGGACTGGGTGAGTTATAAATGTTCCAGGTTATGAAATCTCGTAACAACATCATTAAGTAATCTACTCCTTCGCATCCTCCAAAAGGAGAAAATCGCAACTAAAATCGCAGCAAAAATCGGTGTGAAAGGACACACTGGGCCCACAAGCCTCACTATCTAGTGTTTAAAACGTTCTAAAACTCGTTAGAAGAGATGTGGGATTAATGGGAAGCTGTATCTTTTAAGGTACATAGAAAAAGACAGTTGCTTAAAAATGAAAATATTATGAATTATTTATTCATATATAAATTATATAAAATATAAACCTCCCGCCTCTTCGACATTTTCAAAACGTCTTTGCTGGGGGGAGGGGGATAAATGAAATGGGGCCCAAATTTGTACAGTGCCAGTGGACACCGGTACTGTGCAGCCTCGTACCCAGGCGCAAATAACGTACTGAAAATAGCAACACTACAGTGTTTTTATATAGACCAGTGACTAAGATGAGCGAGCGCGGAGTGTATCTAAAAGTCGAGGGTCGAGAGTCGAGAGTATAGGTCGAGAGTCGAGAGTATAGGTCGAGAGTCGAGAGTAAAAGTCGAGAGTCGAGAGTAAAAGTCGAGAGTCGAGAGTAAAAGTCGAGAGTCGAGAGTAAAAAGTCGAGAGTCGAGAGTAAAAAGTCGAGAGTCGAGAGTAAAAAGTCGAGAGTCGATCGAGAGTAAAAAGTCGAGAGTCGATCGAGAGTAAAAAGTCGAGAGTCGGCAAATGTCATCAGAAACAAAGTCAAAATATTTTTATTTTTTAACCACGTTTAATCACAATCTATATATATAGCTTTACATAGCCATTCCGTAACAAGTACCAACGGCTGAAATACAAACTTTCCAATAAATATTGCTACAACAGTCAATTATCAGTGGCGGAAATTCACTTTTTCCGGTGGGGGGGGGGGCAAAGCCTCCAAAATTTCCGACAAAACTTTGAAATTTCCGACGTACCCCCCCCCCCATTTGCACTCGAAAAGACTGTTTTTAGCCCACTTTTAGATCAAAATTTCCGAAAATTCGTCAAAAAAATAGGATTCTTTTGTCGTATGTGCGACTCTATCGGGTGGTAATATATCTCGCACGTGATTGTAAAGTCCTAGTATTTATATGTAGCTTCACATATGAGTAATTTTTCGCGGAAATAGGCCATGTAAAGCGGGAAGGATGGACAGTAATATATAAGGAAGCGATAAAACTAGTTATTAGATAACAGTTATTTGATTATTGAATGTTGTGGCTAAATTTTTGCGAAAGTTTTTGTTTTATATTGTACTGGATTATTCCTTTGATTGCATGTATATGCCTCTTGTTTACTTTAATTTCGAGAATTTGAGCATACTAAATTATGTTTCGCAAATATTGTTTGCTTTATGTTCCGATACATAGGGAATGAAAGGTTCAGCCGTCATAGGCGTACGGGCGGGGAAAAACAGGGAGCCAGAAAGAAATTTACCCGACTTTTACCCACTGAATAAAATTTTTTGTGTAACTAAATTTCCAAAATTGTCGTTGGGAAGTATAGTAGACAAAAATATTTTCCTATTTGTCGATTCCTCGTTACTTTTACATATTTCTGGTATTTTCAAATACCATATTGCATATACTGTCTTCTTTTTAAATTTATTTCCCCCAATTTTTGGCCGAATTTATTTTGACTGGGGTGCGGGACTGCCTCCCCCCCTCGCCCGTACGGCTATAATCAGCCGTTGTTGCGGATCGCTTATATATTGTGTTACTGTAAAAGTATTTTGGCTTTGTTGTTTCTGATGACATTTGCAGACTCTCGACTTTTTACTCTCGATCGACTCTCGACTTTTTACTCTCGACTCTCGACTTTTTACTCTCGACTTTTACTCTCGACTCTCGACTTTTACTCTCGACTCTCGACCTTTACTCTCGACTCTCGACTTTTAGATACACTCGCGAGCGCGCGAGCTTAGCCACTGATCTGTATAAAAACACTGTAGTGTTGCTATTTTTAGTACGTTCAATAGTATTTAGTACGTTAGTTACTGGGTACTGTGGTAAACGCAATGATTTTAATATCTTACCTAGTACACGATAATAGAAATAACACATCGTTGTCTTTCCAGATTCATCTGTTACCATGTATTTTACTTCGTGATCCTTCCAGCCAGAAATGCTCAACTCGTGTTCCTGCTTCACTGAGACACGTCTGCCATCCAGGGTTGCGATGAAATTTAGTTTCCCGCCGTGTGCCTCCGAGTCGTCGGAATAGGATGGAGTAGGGAGATGGATCTTGGTACTCGCTTTTCCTGGGTCGGATTCAAGAATCGTCACATGTTTTTTTCCCGACGGGCAATTCACGACGGGCTGTTCGAGGTCTACAATTGACATGAAAACACAAAAGAACAAACCATAGATATCTTATATACACTAGATAGTGCATCTAATTATTCTGCAATTCAAAAATTGAAGCCGTGATTGCAGACTCAGGATATTCCCATGAAATGAGAAGACTCGTATGTTTCCTATTTCTTAAACAGGGAACTTATGACATTAAGTTAAACCTATTCCAAATACATTTTCAAACTATTCAAATGTGAAATGATGAAAGATATTGTTGTTTTTTTAGCGTTTATTATATATAGCGAGTGGGAAACTCCAACATGGCCGCCATCTATTCAAATGGGGGTAAACGCTGGAATACTTTTGGCTTCAAGTTTACTAAAAGAGATGCGCTATCTAGTGTATATAAAATATCTATGGAACAAACGTATGAAGTTGTCCTTTAGTAGCATGATACTAATTATTGACTTGCAATGTGGGCGACGGCCATGGTTGGTCCCTTTTCAACAAACGAATCTCATTAACTTCTTTTGAATTTGGCACCAACATGGCCGCTAACTGTCTTCTAATTCTCAAGGGATTGAATGCAAGTGAAGAATCAGATGTGGTTTGATTCAAGTGAGGCCGTTCAGCTACTAGAACTTATAATTGGTGGTTAAGAATGATTTGTTAAAATTTGATTATTGAAAAATAAAAATGTTTTATTTTTCAATTGTTCTATTTTTCAATTCAAAAATTTTTATTTTTCAATAATCAAATTTTAACATTCTTAACTACCAATTATAAGTTCTAGCAGCTCAACGGCCTCAATTGAATCAAACCACAAAAGAACAAAGTTTGAATTTTTACAAGCTTTCTAGATGGAACAACTAAGCATGCATGCGCTTTGACACAATTTCTATAACTGGGGCTGCATGGCGTTCATATATGAGCCCGGGAAGGCGAGATACCGCCTCGCTCAAACGCGGGCACTGCAAACCGGCCTGGCCCGTTGCCCATGTGAATTCTAATCACAATATACAAGTTGCATGTATGAAAAAAGATAATCCAACTTTAGCGTGCTTTTGTGCCCTCAATATTACATGCACAGATTAAATGATTCCATTTACTATAAATTAGGGTTTTAGCTTTTGAATAAGACCTTTCTTGTTATCTTGTATCATTCCAAGCACAATTGACCAAATACGAGGATTAAAAATTGCCGCTCAAAATAATTTTTCCACCTTTGGTGTTTTAATAGCAATTTTACACAGCAACAAAATGTGTAGACTCTTGGCTGTCCAATGATAATGATAACTGTTTTGTGTCATTATATGGCCAAATACGAAATGAATAAAACTTGCCGGTCGAAACCGCATTTTTGCAACGTTCCCATTGCCCACTGGATCTAAAATTCATAAATTTTAATTTCAAAAGCCCTAGCATAGTAATATATGGGAAAAACAAAAAATAATTGTTGATAAATGTTTGGCAAGATACTTTGACTACAGAGTACCGAGTACGCCAATAACACATGGTTAAAATCAAGTTGTATACCGATAAAATGGTTTTCATCTTGTAAGCCGTCCATATCCAAGAATCGGTCTTAAAAAAACCGATCATTGAGGTAGCTCTTCGCTTTAACGAACTGCGGGACCACAGCGCAAGCCTGTTACGAAAAACACATGTACATGCAGTGCATTCCACGAAAGAGCTACACTTATAAAACAAACTCGAAAAACGCAGACTTACCAGGAAAACGCATGCAAACATCTTCATTTTCACACAGCAACGTATATAATCACAAAGAAACAGCAAGTTCGATTCCTTTCGTCTTCGAGCAGCAGCACAAAAGTACAAAATGTCCGTATAATCTTGCTATAGCTTTATAAGCAAGATCATGGGCGAGTATAATTGAACATCATTTAATCACAAACAATCACTGATTTGATGAGTCAGGCTAATTAGAGCACAACTTCAATATTATGACGCATTTTTAAGGTCACTTTAATAGCATTAAAAAACTCGTTAATACTTTATGAGGAAAAGACAAAGAAAATCACTGCCATGCCGCTGGATTTGTGTGAGATAAAAAAATCATGTTAATTCATGCATATAAAGTTTAGCTATGATTTTCTCGGCTTAGACAACGTTTATTTTTAAAATTACTTCGCCAATGAACTCATAAGATGGATTTTAAACCATTTAAAACACTCGCAGTCCGTGCTATATTATACAAATAATGAAGGTTTTTATTCGTGCAATGGTAAGAATATTTTCATGAGGTGAAAGATGGAATGTTCCATTCAACGAGGCGACAGCCGAGTTGAATGGAACATTCCATCTTTCACCGAATGGGTTAAATCACCAAATATTAAAAGGTTTACTGTAAGCTCCGGCCATTTTGACGAGTCGTATTTGCATTAAATCCCATTTACTGAGTTTCGAATATCGGGTTAAAATAAACTGCGATCACCGTACGAGAAGCATTTTGACGGATGCGATATATCGAAAACACAAAGAGTGGAATGGAATAAAACGTATAGTACAATTGCACTCGCAAGAGTGCAATGGAACGTATGCACTCTTGGGAAATGGAATTTTCTATTCAATATCACGTGACCATAAACAGCCAATCAAACGATCAGAATTCAATAAGGTATTATATAAAATTACAGATCTGTTCAAGCGCTTGGATTTGGCCAGTTTTATAAGCAAACTCGGTAATTCTCAAAATCACTTGACGTAACAGGAACGCAATTTCAATTCAAAGGAATAACATTTACGTTGAAGCGCTTTCCATAGCGTGTGGGAAATATACACATTTAACGCAGAACAAAAAAGATTCGCCGACAATAGAAAATACAAACAAGTTTAAACAGATATTGTAACATGTACATCAATAAGCATTAACACAAACAAGTTTAAACAGATATTGTAACATGCACCGATTAATAAGCCAATTAAGGCATATATACCCATTGCACTGACGTCACAAATCCTTAGAGTGTCCTCCAGATGCTCCCTATAACAATATCTTTTCACATACAACAACCACATACAGCGCAAAAATTGATCATTTTAATACAAAATTATAATAAAGTTTTATGCATAGATTGCTAATTTGTCCTCCAGATGCTTTATACTACTTTATACTTTATACTTTATTTAGAAATGGTAAATACATTGCAGCCATGAGCTGAATTGCGTATTATACTTACAATTAAAAATTATTAAAAATTAGAGTTTTGAAATATATCAAAGTATTATAATTAATTAACTAAATTGTCAAAAGTGTCTGTTTATAATAAGCATGCAAAAGTTATTAAGAATATAAAATAGGTAAATGAAGAGTAAAACCTATTCAGTTTTGCTACTCGATGCCATAATAAAACTATTACTAAACCGATTGGTTTTACAAACTGGAACGTCAAAAGATCTAATAGAGGTCATGTGCAATGGGTCTATACGGGAAAGCAACTACCAAATTGAAAGGCTTCGCTCTTTCCCAAAAACAATAATTGCTTTTATAGCGAGATACTCTCTGCAATGCTTAGAGTTTCTTCATTATTGTATTTCCTCCATGACAAATATGATTTTCATCAATCTTTCAATCATATCAAATTAAAGTATTCTTACTTAGCAGTTCACAATTGACTTAACCTAACAGTGATACTTTTGAGTTTAGAGATCCGCGCACCATGCTTGAATTGTTGTCACACCATATGGCAGCCTAGTCCCAGTCGTTCTGAAGCAAGCGCGAGAAAAAACGTGGATGTAGTACGAGACTGGGACCTAGGTGTGACGTCACCGCTAAAGGTGCTTCAGAACCACTGAGCTATAATACTACTGGAGGACGTGCTCCTATCTATCCTTCAGTCAAACGAGTGTCCGGAAAAACATGGCGGATTTTCATGTTTGCTGACGCCAATTGGTTCCTCCGGCTCATGGCAATTACCACTGACCAACCGCGATCCTACGCTTGAAGTAAAATCCTTCACCCCCCTGGTTTTTGCAAAAATTTTGATCATAATTTTCGAGTTTCGACTGAACATTTTGATATTTTTGCAGTCGAGAAAAAAGTGTGTTAGTTTTAAGTTTTTAGTCTGCTTGTAGATGAAACAATTCACTCGAAAGGATTATTATATTTCTTGTTTTCAGGTAAGATTCACAAAAGTTTTATTTCTTTTACTTTATTTAAGTTCTAGCTTGCCAAAGCTTGGCTGCTTCGGGCAAATTTTATAACTTGCCATTTCGATGGAAAAGCATAAATAATTATGTCAAAAACTACCGTTATAAGCAGCAAATGTATAATATTGCTAATTTCAACAATATCACAGTAGCTTGTAGCTTTGTATCCTCTTTTTTGTTGTTCTTTATATTCAAACTCATTCTCATACTGCATTAATTGTGTCTCATATCTTGGGTTCAAAATCCTTTTCCCGACTTGTTTTGTTTTATATTACTTTGAAATAATGAAATTCATGATTGGTTTTAACTTTTAACTACCTGGTTTTTGTAGCAGTATTTATTTAGGATGCATGTGCACAACCTACCTTTTTAGTACCCTGCCAGTTGCCACTCTGGCACTTTAAAAAATTATTTATTCAGCATTTAAACCTTTATTATAAGTGATTAATAAAGGAACACTATGCCCTACTTTGTTATCCTACTCAGTCCAATACCAGATAATTTTACTTGTTAAGGAGAAAGTGCTAGTGCACTCAATTGCTTAATAATTTTAAGTCATATTAAACATCATTTTTTATTTGTATCACCCCCCCCCCCCTTCGATATTCTAGCACATTTTACTTGTGGATCCCCCCTCTACACTGTCACAGCTGTAACTTGTAGCACAGGCTGTGGGAGTCTGAATCTTTTCTGTAATTCATGTAATGACCCAATATAGTTCAAGTGCCCTCACAAATCCAATGGAATTTGCTTATCCTGAGGCTGATGCTCAAGCATGAACAAGAAAAATACAAATAAGGTGTTTGAATGCAAGGGCTGTTGCAGAAATAACTTTATTTGATCATTTCCATTACACAATAGCATGTTTATTATATACAAAGAGTGTCAAAGACCATATTCTTCACACTGACCATCTACTACATAGTTTTATTGCAATGTAAGGATGTATCTTAATGTAATGTTACATTCTGATATTCTGTCATTCATTTTGCAGGTAAAATCATTCACAGGCACCACAAGACATATCACAATGGATCAAAATGCTGAACAGCCAAAGCAAAATCATACCCATCTGGCTACAAAGTCACAATAATAACTTGTCTGGATAGTTTTATCACTGCTAACAAAATTAATTATTTCTAATAATTGATAATTCTTTAATAAAGAGGTTGAACTATGAACTGTCTCACCATCAAATAATTCTGCAATTAGACCAAAAAGAGATTATATAATTAAAATGTTGTAAAATGAAGTTTTCACTAGAGACAAAAAAGTAAGAAAGTGAAGAAAGGAAATGAGAAAAGTAGCTTAAGCCACCACACTATTTAAAGACTTGAATGTATCATGCAACTACCTGAAAAATAATACTATAGGTCTTTCACTTGAAATGTTGAAGTTCATTGGTTTCTTAGTTTCAGGTGGTTGCATCTGATACAGGGGTGCACAGAGAGAGGACTGAAATGAACAAAACCCCAAATAAATCCACCTGCATGGACTGGAAGTGACATTATCTACCAATAAAATTGTTTCTGACTTGATGTCTGACTGTGACTTTCTCAGTTCTGGCCTGTATAATGAGATCCAGTGCAACCCTATAAAGCCTATAATCTAGATACTTTGCTTATACCTATACTTGTGATTGGTACCCAACATGCAGGAAGTACAATCCTATTTCTAGTGGCTCAAGAATCCTCAATTCAACATGTCATTAGTCAGAAATCTAGGTAGAAATCATATTACCAGATAAGTTGCCCACAGTATCCTGAGCTAATCTGGCACCCCTAGGCTAGCTTCTACTGGCACCCTAGATTATGCATACTATAATAACCACAGACTCTAGTATATATAAACACAAAGAATATAGATAGAAGCACATTGTTTCATGCCTTTACACCTGTACATACACTCATTTAGCACATACAATTGCATAAAATCAAGCATGTCAGATTTCAGTCATCAGTCTATATAGAAAACCCAAAGGATTTGAGAGAAAAAACTGATTTAACTGAATTAAATAAAACAAAATTTGTTTAACAAAAACCATGGCCAGCCAACAAATATTTAACAAAGCTTGTAAAGTAAGAAAAAAACAACAAAAAAACTTAATTTGAATATAAAAACAAAGTTTCTGTATTTTTTTACGACAAGACTTTGAACACATGGGGGAAAATAATATGTTATACTATACAAAGAGCCTGTTATCTAATGGATTGTATTCTATCATTTACTCCCATTATCTTTTAAAAATTAAAAATAAAAACATATCAATAGTATGTGAAATATTTACCTGTGAGCTCTGCCGACTGCCATCAAATATCGCCTTTGCCTAAATTTCTCGGGCTTTTCATATTGGTTTGTTGTCTTTCGCGGGTGAGAATAGCGTGTACGACTTTTAAATCTTTTAACAAATGGTCAAAAGTCGAAAAAATATAAAAAAACAACGAGATTTTACTGCAAAAACCTCCAAAAGCAAAAATTTTTTTGATAAAACCAGGGGGGGTTGAAAATTGTAGCGGGCTCAGAATTGAGCCTGGTCAGCGGTAATTTCATGAGCCGGAGGAACCAGTTGTCATGGAAATGGCGTCATATGGCGCGAAAATCCGCCATGTTTTTGCGGACACTTTTTTTGCCGAGCACTTCCTCCAGTAATATAGTATAGCTCAGTGGTATGTACTTACATCCCGCATA